CCAGCGGTTTTCTTTCCACCTTCCGACCTACCCCTCACGTCACAAGGTGCAGGGTGGTGTGCAACACATCGTCTACATCATGGCGATCCAGTATGGCCTACCCTCTCTCGCTCGCGCGCGGCAGCCGACGAGGCGACCTGACCGGGCATCCTGGCTAAGAGACGACACAGATACTTGATCCTCCTGTCCAGACAGGGCAAAGTCGTATGTTCATCTAGCTAAAGCATCACACAACCCCGTTCTCGAAGCCATGGCGCCTTGTGCTGACAAGGGAATCATCAGCGTCTGGCCAAATGGTTCACTACCCTCTCGCCCAAGGAGAAGGCCAAGATCGTCAAAGATGTCTCCCAGCTGGTCCTGGCGCGTCGCACTCGCATGTGCAACTTTCTCGAGTACAAAGGTCGGTCCTCGTCACCAGCCAACGTCAACAAGTGGTGCACCCCCGAAATCTGACACTCGGCACGCAGACTCCAAAATCGTCTACCGCCGATATGCCTCGCTCTTCTTCATCGCCGGCGCCGACTCGGACGACAACGAACTCATCACGCTCGAGGTGATCCACCGCTACGTTGAACAAATGGACAAGTACTACGGCAACGTGTGCGAACTCGACATCATCTTTTCCTTCACCAAGGCCTATTACATCCTCGATGAGCTGCTGCTGGCCGGCGAGCTGCAGGAGAGCAGCAAGAAGAACGTGCTGCGATGCATTTCGCAGCAGGATGCACTCGAAGATATGGAGGTATGTGGCCGTCTAGCTTCGTGTGGCACCCCTCGCTGCTGGCCTGGCGTCAGAGCTGACCCTGTGCCCCCGCCACCCAGGTTGAGGACGAGGTTACCAAGATTCTTTGAGGCCTCTTCAGTTGTCCTCACCCGTCTACGTCCCCGCACCTGCCCAGAGTTGTGCCTTGGGGGTTGCTCGCAGGACGTCACCCGATGGAGGATGAACGGCACGTCGCGTGGTGACGGTTTCTTGGCTAATGGACTCGACCATGGTCTCACAGGATTCGCAAGAGGTCGAGCATGCGCTCAAAGAAGCAGGCTTGATCTGAGGCACCCGAACAACCCGGCCAACAGCCAACGTGATCAACGACATGGACGACAGCAGACCGAACGACAGAAGCAAGAGGCAGCAGCAGGGGCAGAGTCGAAGAACGACGTCCGTTTGGGACACCAACCGACGATATGGCCGAGAAGGAACGGCTCCGTTGGGGTTGGAAATATGTGCATAGATCTTGGAGGGCGGACAACCGCCCTCTATCAGAACCAAGAGAAAGAACACGTCGCAGGCGTTGGTGGCAGCAGCGGCTCGTCACCAGAGGCGACATGTCGCTCGAGCCGCAGCTCCACCATGCCGGACAGCTCATTGCATCCCTTTTTTAGTCCCAGGTCAGCACACATGCCTCACGAAAGAAGAGAGACAGGCAGACTGCGGGCGAGGGATGGATGGGTGGGCTGCTGCGACATGGCATGTGTCATGGTCACCCCAATATACGATACCAACTTGCCTTGCCTTACGAAACGCGCTCCGCTTTGGACCTGCCATTACCTAGTTATTGCTTCACAGCTATCCACCGGTCAGTTTTCGACAGGTTCGTCGTGCTTTGGTCACCGCCCGTGGCTCCAGCGGACAGTCCCATTCGTCTCTCGTTTCCTCCCGCGTCCCGTCTAAGCAGCGATCGAATGTTGCTGCACCCTATCCCCTCTCACCCAGCCTGACTGACCCCATCTGTCCTCCTCTCACCAGCACACATACACACACACGCACACACACCAGGACGAACGTCGGAAACAGATTAGCAGCTCCTCAAGAACCCGAGCTACGCCTGGCAGTAACATCATTAGCCTGTGGTCGTGGGACGCCCCTGGCCAAAGGAACGCACCCACCTACTCCAACCTGGCTATCCGACTGGTCAAAGGGGGTCACTCATCCTCAATGCCCCGCGCCATTGGCGGACCCGCTCGTCAAAGTGGATTGGCAGGACCCATCCCCCTATCCCTTCCCTGTCCGACAACGCGAGTCCCTCCCCCGCGTACCCATGACAGTGCTGCAGCCGCACCCGGAAGCCTACGCAACAGCTGCTGGCACGTCCATGGCACGGCAATCAGCTATCGGTAACGTAAGGTAGCCAGCAGCCAGCCCAGCCTGCACACCTGCCTTGCCTACCCAGCCAGTGTCAGCGGTGCGGTCAAGTCGTCTGTTTGGGCCTTATCTTGGTCCCCAACACCCTGCGACCGTTCAGATTCCATCATCATCTCCCCCCTCCATCTCTCCCATCTGCCGGCACTCTGTCACCAAAGGCAAGTAGGCTTCGCCTTGACGCCTCGATCCCAGTTTCCGCGGCTGCGCATGCGATATGCTCAACCGCCACTGTACACTTCCCCTTTTCTAGGCGCCTCTTATCCTCACAGGCCAAAGGTACAACAGCTGCTTCACATCTGCCACTCTACCCTTTTGGCCCTTTCGCCTACTTAGTACCTTCAGCACCAGGGCTGCGCATGGTTTCGACACGAATAAGCTTTACGCCTCCTCTTCGCTTTGTTACCATATAAGCTGCCCGGCATTCATTCATCATCGCCCTGACCTGACGTCCATCATCAGCTCTCGTCTCAACACACCGCACGGAAGACAACCCATCCACGCTATTGCGCCAGACCGGCATCGGCTCCGCCCCCATCCGGCGCATCGCGACACTCCACTTGGCCTGACCTTGTCTGACATCACCCGACTTCCTACGCGACGACGATAACAGCCACCACCACCCCACCGTCCATCCGCTTCGTGCTCTTCCATCAACTCCATCGGCTCACATCGCGCTCATCTTGTAGTCGCTTCGGCCATCACAAGCCCAGCATGAAGGTGTGTTGCGCGGGGCGCTATTCCCGTCGAGGATCATTTGCCTGCTCGCACCCCTCAATACTGACGCCCGCTTCCAGTACCTACCGATCCGCGACTTCGATACGGTCGCGAGCGCCCTGAACTTCAATACACCAGACTGCAATGTCACGGGTGGATGCGACCTATATACCACCAAATCCACCGGCGCCGATAAGAAACTCTTCAAGACAATCAACGATGACCTGACATCACAACACGAAGCGCTGCTGAAGCTCGGCGCCAGTCTGTCACCGCCCGACCGCGAAGCCATGATGGCAACTTCTCCAAATATGCAGCTGTTCTCGCACTCGAGCGCGTTCGGTCCCCTTTCCGAGCTGTCCAGCCGTCGTACCTTTGCCTACCTCATCGCGACACTGAACGCCAGCCATCAACACTACGACTTCTCTAATGTTCTGATGCCAGGTGACTTTAAGCGGGAGAAGAACCTACGGCGCGTCATCGGCAATCTCGACTCCATCCTGCAGAACGTCCGACCACATCCAGATGTCCGACCGAGCGACATCAACTCTTCATCGCTTACGGACTCAGTCTGGGGGCCCCACTGTTGGGCCATGATCAACAAAGAAATGCGACTTAATGAGTGCACCGTCTTTTCCTACCAACCCGAGACCGACCCGTTTGAGGAGGAGGAATCCGCCATTTGGGCAAGTCACTACTTCTTCTTCAACCGGGCGTTGAAGCGTGTCGCCTACCTCTACGTGCGCGTTGTCCCCGTAGTCTCGTCGCAATCACCAGTTCTGCGAGCCAGCATGCCGGCAACCGACGGTCTTCGCAGCAAGAGGCCTTTGAGCAACCATTTTGTCGACACTTCAATGGGCAACAAGCGGGCCAAGTACTGGCTGGGCGATCGTGATGCCAGGGTCGTGCGCCACGACGATGATGACGAACAGAGCGACGGCTTCAACTGGAACCGCGGGGCAGACGGTGACCTCGTCCCATTTTCAGAAGACGACTATGGCGACGGCAACTATTACTACGACGAAGACGATGAAGACGACTCGAGTAGCGGCAAGGGTCCCATGCGCGAAATGTCAGAGGAGGTCGTGGCGCACATGGAGATCTAGTAGCCCCGATTTCGCAGCCCATGTAGGGTCCTCCTCTGCTAACGTGTGTGCGCGGGCAAGCTTGATGCTCGCTGGTTTCGGTTTCTCTTTTATCCCATCGTTTCCACAGCTGCCATCAGTCTGACCCTTTTTTTTTTTTTTTTTTTTTTTTTTTTACTTTTTCGAACGCCCTCCATCAACTGGCTGGGGTTTTATTTCCTTTACTAGGGACTTGGTTGGACGACATGAGACGGCGAAGTCTCCGCGATACGATGCTATGAAAATGATACCCTATTTCTTTGCCAGGTGGCGCTGGCCGGAATCCTAGGGGGGGGTTTCCAACTGCATCGTCGCGAAGGACGAAGGACTCGGCAGGGCCGGGTTAGAATGCGCGTGGAGGGGAAACGGTAGATATTGGGAGTCTGGCAAGCGGGGTCGACACCCATTCTCCCTGGCATGGCCTCGGGGCGGGGCAGCGGCAGGTCACGGCGGTGTCTGGAGCAGGATCACGCGCGGTCGGATGCTGTGACTGCGCGGCGTATGGAGGCGTTTCCAGGCGTTCAGTTTTGTTATGCGCAAAGGGGTGGGGATCAGCCGTGTTTTTTTGTATTGACTCTTGTTCGACTTTGTGATTAGTACGGTTCGCCAGGATCTGGCTGCACACGAAATGGCATTGTTCTCACGAAGTTCACGGTCCTATGTACGTGCTGGGTATAGCTATCACGAAAGGTGAAGTGCAATAGCTCGGTACTTCGGGCACAAACCAAACAGAGAGCTGATGACTAACGAACACCATTTCCAACACCGGGCCGGTCAATCCATGGGCAGGAGGCAGGCGCCACCAGCACGGGAGGTCCATATAGCAGCAGTCCTTCCCCGCGTATGCGTAGATCGTGCAGCGTAGCTTCCGCACACTGGAAATCCGTCCCCGCTGCGTCGGCAGTCAGGACCTGGTCCCCTCATGCCAAAGGGAAGACAAAGGGGTGCATGTTTGCAGTGCGCCCGGAGCAAACGGAGGGTGAGCGCCGTCCCTCCTCCTACGGTATGCACTGCACTTGATGGAGAAGCTGATGGATCATCTGCCTACCTAGTGTGATCACAAACAGCCGCAATGCACACAGTGTGCCAAGCACGGGCAGGAGTGCGAGCTTCAGACGTTCAAGATTTCGACGCCGGCAGTCTTTGATTCGAGGCACTTGAGGCGCCCGGTGCCTAAGAAGCCACTCCCACGGCCAGCACCCTCGCAGCCAGAGCTGCAAACCCTGCCGTCAAGTCTTCTGTCAGGCACGTCGACTGCTCGGTCGGCGTCAGACTCTGGAGCCTCCCAGTCATCGCCAGGGGCTTCACGAGACCTGGATTTCTGGGCTGCCGACTCGAACGCTGAGATCGCAACGGGCATCGTCGCGGCTCTCCCGAATGCCCTGGTGCCACATCCCGCAGCAGAGGCCTTCAATGGCAGCAACGACCATGGCGCTCCTCTTCCCCGAGACGAGTGTCCAATGCCCATCTTTACGAGCCCCGGCCAGCTCACGTTCACGGGTGGTGTTGCCACTGGCCCCGACCTTACCGAGGCCATCAACAGCACATCTCCCTCATCCTTGATCATGCCAGCCTTTGATGACGATGTTCTAGAAATTGCAACACGGAATGACATGTACCCAGACGCAGCAGCGCTACTCGACAGTCTGAGAAACATGGATGCTAGCCCCAGCTCCACCTTTGAGTTGTCGGCCGAGTTTGTCCCTCGTCACCTCTACTGCCCCATGCCTTGGCCTCCTGACATGCTGGCCTCGTCGGAGCGGCGCTTCCTCTGGCAGTACTTCCTGAGCATCGCTGAAGCCGACTTTTTGTGTGTCGATTGGGAAGACGTCGGGCACCTGTATGACTTCCAACACCCCTACATCACAACCCTGCCACGCATGGCGCTCTCGAACGATGCACTCCGCGGCGCCATCTTCTGTTTCGCAGCGTCGCAGTACCAGCTTCGCCATGGCCGATCCGACTTTGAGGCGACCAAAGGTTTCACCAGTTCAGAGGCGGCGCTGGCTTTGAGCGCGCAAATGTCACGAGACGCGGACGACAGCGGCCTCCTGTCCATGATCAGCGCCGCGACACTGCTGCACTGGTACGGCACCGAGCCACACGACTATCTGCGTGTCGCCTCCCTGCTTGTCAGCCAATACCTGATGCGACCCAAGTCTACAACCAACGCCACCACATCTTTCCCTGAAGTTCCCCTGACAGAGTTCCGATGGAGTGTCGTGTCCACCCTGTGCTCCCTGCAGCAGCCCGCCAGCCCGCTTGGAGGGCACATCTGCGGTATGATTGAAATGAGCGAGAACGAAATTCAACGGAATTACTCGCGGGCCTTCGAGCGCTGGGTCAGTCATCCAATATACTCTTTCTCTCCGCGTCTCGTCAATCCTTTGCTCAGGATAGGCCTTCTACTGGAGACGCAACTCCTGCAGCTGGAGCTCGAGGATGGAGATATCCAGCCCGATCCCTCCTGGCCTGCTCACGTCTCGGAAGCAGAAGACATGCTGCTGCAGGCTCGAGACCGCGACATCAACGTATCGCGGTCAGCCTTGGGCAGCGCAGACCCTGCAGCCATTCTTGCACTCAATGAGTCCATGTACGCCGCGGGGGCCGTCCTCCTCTACGCTCGGATTCACGGCCTCCCACCCACGGCGCCATTTATCCGCCGGCAAACCCAGATTGTCGTCGATGAGATCTCCAAGATACCCGTCGACTCGCGGGTCTCTTTCGCTATCGTGTTCCCTCTGTTCATCGCCGGCTGTGAGGCTATGGAGCAGATGATGAGGGATGCCATTGTTCAGAGGCTTCGCAATCCTGGCGGCGTGACCTATGTTCGGGGTGACCTCGTCGGCGCGCTCCGTCAAATTTGGGACATCAGAGATCTCGAGCCAGGGCTCCCGTGGCCGCACTGGGTGAGGAAAGGTGAGTGCTTGTCAGCCCGTACAGTCTGGGAGCTTTGATGTCTGACATGTCGCAGTGGAGCCACGGTATCGAATCAGTTGTCTGATGTAGTTGTTCCTGTGGCCATCTATGATACTGCGCGTGTTGTACAGGTAGTCCGCTCAAACCAATGACATTTATGCCCAGCGCCATTTATGCATTTTTCACCACCCTATTTCTCCTGATTTACAAGTAGACCTTACAGCTTCGGCCGAGTACAACAGCCACTTGTGAGCTCTGAAGTCGTATCCTTCCCGCTAGGAACGTCGATGGCGGGATTTGCCGTGAAGAAGTCTACGGGCGAGATGTGCAGTTCCATGATTTCAACGGGCCTATTGACGTCAGTGTTGTACTCACGGGCAGGAGACTACTTGACCAAGATGGACTCACATAACAGGCCAGTCTTCGACCCTGGGATTGTGTGTGAGGCCGAAACAGCTCCACAACACCACATCCTGCTGCAAAAGATCGTCATTGCGCGCTACCATGTCGGCGACGCCGCCTGCCTCCCGCTTGCTGGATAGAGGGTACTCTCCGGCGGCGTAGAGTTCGCCGTCACGGTACTTGGTGACCCAGAGGTGGTGCTGCGCGAACAGGCATCGGTGCGCCTGCGTGCTGCCGGGGTTGGCAAGGACCTTTTGGGTTGGCGGTGGGTTAATCTTGTAGCCGACGGGCGCCCAGAGATGGGATTCTTTTTAGCAAGGTTCTGGATCTTGAAGATGCGGTTGTTCTCCGGACACGCGTCGACGCCAACCGAGGTAAGTAACGGCGTATCCCTAACCTCGTACAGATTGCCATGTGGGTTGGTGCGCGCATCCATCCCCGCAGGTAGAGACTCGTTCTGGACGACGGTGTTCTCATGGCCGTCGATGGCGGGATCTATACGAACGCAGAAGATGTGCTGGTGGTTCTGAGCCAGAGCTCCCGGGTTCACCACAGTACCCCAGGGCGCCGTCTTCCCGGCATCAATGTTGACCACCGACACGATGCCCGTCGCTCGCGTCTCGACGTTGATGGCGCCGGCTTGGTCGAATTTGTACTAGCATTTTGTCAGCGGCATGTCCCGCATATCCCAGCTGTTGAGATGCCTCACGTTGAAGATGTACTCATAATTCGCCAGCGTGATAATGAACTGTACTACCAGCTCTCGGCGGCGTGTTGATACGGCGCGGCCGGTACGCCAGTTTGTGTGCTTCCAGCCGATACCGTTGTCTTGCTCGTGCAGGCAGATGACACGGGGTGTCTTTTCCGCTTTTCCCTCGGGGGTACACAACACACCGTCAAAGTACTGTTCATCATTAGCGATGCAACAATATTCCACAGCCTTCTGTGAGTTGTACCTTGATGACTCCCAGGCAGTCGCAACCCAAAGTCAGATTGTTGACGGCATGCCCGATGCCGCCGTCACCAAAGTCAAAAGCCTGCTTCCGGTGAAACGGCGGCCGAGGATCGGCATATGGCACGGTCTGGAATCGTCGTCAGTCGGGTCTCATCTAATACCGGATACCGGAAGACCAGACTGGCTTACCATTTCACTGATCGAGAGGCGATACAACACGCTCCGATCATCGTAGTAGACATCGTGAATGACGGCACCCTCGCGAGGGTTGAAGCTGACCCTGAACCGCCACTTCTGCCACTCAACAAGACTCTCATCCTTGATCGAGAAACTCGGGCCCTCGGGCTGAACGACGCTGAGCGGTTTGAGGTCCCTGCGAGTCCCCCCGGGCAACAGCTCGGGGACATACTCAGCCGGAGCGCAGTGGTCGAGGATGGCGCCCGTCCGCGGAGCTGCGGGCACAAGATCGTCGCCGGCCCCGCCTGTCGCGAGCTCGTCAATGCGGACAATTTCGCGCTTCTCAAAGTCCATGACCGGGATGATGGGCAGAGGGAATGCGTAAAAGTTAGAGTCGGGATTTCCGGACCGCGTGTCGACGGCATACACGAGACCCTGGAAGTACCTGCGCACGCCGCCCGGCTGGTCCATGCCTCCGTACGGCCACGGCTCGATGACGACTTCGAAGCCTTCTGGAAGCGCAAACTGCGCCACTCTTTCGCTGAGCACGCTAGACTCCTTGCATTTTTCGACGAGAATGTCGAACTCCCATCTGAATTCTCGTTAGCGAGAGCTCTCTGCTCCAGATGGGGGGTTCAGGGAGATCTTACGTGCTGAGTCCGGCCAGATACTCTGTTCCCACGACGTCTTTCTTGACGACGAGGCCGCGATCCAGGTCGACGACCGCTTCGATCTCGTCCGCCTTTCGGTCCGCCGCCTGGTGAGCCCGGACGTAGTGCACTGCTGCGAGACGCGGCGGCCGCGGGAGAGTCGGGGCCGCAAAGGACCCCCGAGTGCTCGAGGCTCAGGAACGCGGTGAGGTCGGCCTTTTTCGGCTCCTGGCGGTAGATCATGCGGAACTGAATAACCTCTTTTGGCGACGATTGCAATATAAGGTCACTTGCCCGGTTTGTCTCCTCTCCCGTGAGAGGAGACAAGGGATGTGGTACCGAGTGAGCCATGTCTTGAGCGGCCCGAAAACTGATGGTTCTGTGAATGTCAAGTGTATCACTTTGATCTCTAGATTTCCCAAAATCGAATTGCAGACTTCATGTCCTACTCGACTGGACGATTTATTCATATTCCGACAAAGGATCATGGTCTTGGAATCAACAGCCGAGGACCAGTCCCGGACTTTACGTAAAGCACGCCGATACCAAACCTCCGGGGGAGAGCCCAAGGCGGAACCCGCGGCCAGCCATGTTGGGAAAATTGCCCGATCCGGCATCGTTGCCCATCACCGCGCTCTAGGACAAAACGGGAAATTTAACCGCACGCATGCACGGTCCGGTACTGGGGGGGCTGATAGGGACATGACGCGCCAAACGACGCGGGGCGCGGGGCGCGGGGCGCGGGGAACGTGGGACAGGTCCCAAGGCAGGAGGGTGATGTCGGAGTTGGCTTTTACTTTGAGAGCAGCCGAAGGTACATCAAGCTGGAGGTGATCCGCCTGAGCCGTCTGAGCCGTCTCGTCATTGACGGGACGCGGGCTGTTGAGCGGGTGCTTTGCCTTCTACGGCACGCTTCGTCACGAGTAGTTCGCCTGCTGGTCTGATGATCATCAGAGTATCGAAACCTTACAAGAGCTCATCTGATGGCACGGCTGGTGAAGGACGCTGCGCCACTAACGCGCCAAATCGCCTAACCACCTAGGTTGCAGCATGGTTGTAATGTCTACACCTATGAGGCAGGCCCCATGTATTGCACCATGTCTTCAGGGCTGGGTAGCTAGTGATCTTCATCAAACCGTGACTGAACCTCGAAGGCTGAATATAGATCTAACGAGAGATAGAAGAAGCAGAACGAGAAATCTCACTAAAACTGAGCCGACCTGGAGATTCCAGTCGTGTGTGTATGTGCTCATTTCCTCCCCAGTAGATCTGAAATCAACAACCTCTTCGCCAGCTATCAGGTCTCGAGTCCCCCGGGTGAAGTGTCCAGTACTTCGAATGAGGTCTTGACACTCATATGAGAGACTCCTACATATATCGCTCAATCCATAGACTCGGTCGGTCATGGCGCCGATGAACTTTTGGCTGTCTGTGGACACTGCTACAGCAGACGAGAACCCTCGTGCGTTATGATCGTCAACGTCAGCATGGAAATGACGGACACATCATGGCCCGTGTTGTGAACGATCGTCATCTTTTCATATACTATTAGACGGCAAACTCTCGTATTTGCAATTCTACATATCCCAGACGGAACACAGTAAAAAATCAAAGAATGTGTTTGTGCAGCTGTGCCGCCCCGTGATCGCACTCCTTGCGGACGGAAAGACGCTGGACGGCTTCCCGACCTGCCTGGGACAGAAGCCGGCCCTGGAGCCCGCCAACAGTCCTTTCCTCCATCCTGCGGTCCAGCGTACCGTTGTTGGGGAACTTGGGCACCACCCCATTCGCAAAGTTCACGCCCTCCGCGATGTACACTACCTCGCCGCCCAGCATGGTCAACAGCGTCTTTTGGCGCGCAATCTCCTCGTCGGGCACTTCAAAGTAGTTGGCCTGCAGGACTATGACGTCGGCGAGCTTGCCCACCTCAAGCGAGCCAATATGCTCGTCCGCCCTGAGGAAGCGAGAGCTCTCGATGGTGATGGAACGAATAGCCTCCTCTCGCGAGAGGGACAGGCCTGGAATGCCCGGCCCGTCGTATGGAGCACCCTGGGAGGCTGGAGAATTGGGGTTCGTAGGGTCACCGGACCGGGTGACGCCGACCTTCACAGCGAGCCATTCGTCGAGCGGATCAATCTTGGTGAGACGTCAGTAACCTAGCGCCTCATCCCTGGAAAGCAATTTCACGTACCGGCCAGTCGCTTCCGTAGATGATGCGCGTGCCAAACTTGGCAATATCTCCCCACGCCTCGAGATAGTTGGAACGAACCGGGCCCATGTTTTTGAGGCCATTGGGCATCCACACCGAACTGGCCTGCGCCCACTGGAAGCTCATGATCGGGTCCGCCTTGAGTTCCGCGAACCGCGGCCAGTCGCTCGGGTCCGTTACCTCGTTGTGGGCCAGGCCGACTCTGTAGTCGTACACGTCGCCGTGCTTGTCGCGGAAGTCTTGCAGAGCATCAAGGGCTGTTCGCACAGCCATGTCGCCGTCAACGTGAATTTGTGCATCAATACCATGGAGAATCAGGCCTTCGAGAACCGCGGCGAGGATTTCAGTCGACCAATACGGCTCGGGCCACTTTTCCGAGTTTGGTGCCCACACTGATGTGTTACCCACGGGAAGGAAGTACGGTTCGATAAGGGCACCGGTGTTGGCCGGGTACATGATGATACCGTCGACGAAAATCTTGACAGCGTGTCACTTGAGGGAGGGTTCTGGGCCTAGATCGGCGGGGTCGTTGAGTTGGGTGGTGGCGTTGACGACCTCCTCCACGAGGGCCGCGACCTCAGCCGTGGAGTTGGGCGCGCTGATGAGATGGTCGAAGAAGCCGCGTGCGCTCAGGCCGCCTTCGTTCTTGACGGCCTCGAACACAGCCGCCGTCCTTGCGCTGGACGCTGCCTCCTGGAAGGTGGTTACGCCTTGCTCTCGAAGAAGCTTCAGAGCTGCCCTGGCGGACTCGACATCTTCCTGCAAAGTCGCCGGGGCGGGGCCGGCTAGCAGGCCGCTGGCAGCGTCCTGGAGGATGCCTGACGGTTCCAGGCTCCCTGGCAGACGCTCGATGACGCCGCCGGGAGGGTTCTGTGTTGAAGCCGTAATGTCGGAGACCTTCAACGCAGCGGTGTTGACCCAGAAGATGTGGCGGTCAGCCGACGTTGCAACGATGGGCCTTTGTGTTTTGAGAACGTCTAGGGTCTTGCTGGTGATGGGCCCGGCCTCTTCAGCAAGCGTGTACCAGTCCATAGACAGGACCTCTAACCAGTCTTCATCGCTCTTCTCAGGCTCCCCGTCGATGCAACTCTGGATATGGTCGAGTACGGCGTTGAGACCCAGCGGCTGGTAGTTCAGATTGCATTTGAGTAATGCCGCGCCGCCAGAGATGGGATGCATGTGGGCATCAACCAGACCGGGCATGGCCATGCGGCCTTCGAGGTCAAAGACAGCCGTCTCGGGTCCGATGAATGGTCTCACGCACCCGTCGCTGCCCAGGAACGTGATCAAGCCATCTGTAATGGCCATGGCTTCGTGCTTGGAGGAGCGTCTGTCAATCGAATAAATTGAGCCATTGCGGAAGACAGTATCGGCAGGCTTATGGGACGAAGCAGAACCGGGACCAAAGAACGAAGACGCTGCTAGAAGCAGCTTCAGAAGGGTAGAGATAGTCATATCCCAGGCTGTAATGTTGAAACCGAAAATTCCGAATGACACGATGCCCCAAAATCCATCTCCCTCATCTTTGACCTGTTGCCTTTCGCAATATATAGCAGCACATCGACGAACTTGTTCCGTCGAGGCTCACGCCGGCGGGCGGTCGTGGCCAAGTTGCCTGGACATGTGCCTGAACATCGTCATGCTCGTTAATTCCCCGATTCGAATCTACTTATCTCCCACACCAGCTCTGTGTTACGCTGTCTGCGGAATACAGGGACACAGCTGTCTTAAAGGCCCTGCAAGAAAATTGCCAACATGGGCCTAGCGATCTTCCGACTGGGCGTATGTTGCGGCTATGTTTCCGCTTTGAGCGATCGGCAAGTCTGGTAGCTGAGAGGCCAACGGCCATCGCGTGGACGCTTCCCCACACATCACTTATCTGCCGGACATGACCATGCATGGGCTAAGGACGCCCCGCGATGACCGATGATGGGCTGGAACTCCGCAAATGTCATCCTGGGAGCTGGCGCCTTATCGCGATCCTCGAGATGGTTATCACGGATAGGGGTAGCTGAGGGGTAGCAATGCCTTCTTGATAGCAGGTACACACGCCGTCGTCTGGGAGGGTGCTGCTGCGTCGGCTGTCTCTTCATACATGAAGTAGTCAGTGCCAGGCGAGAAGGAGAAGAGTGTCAGATCTGTGTCTGACCTTAGAGCCGGTTCCCCTGGGCCTCCTTCTCCATACAACTTACTCACTCATTCTTGATACATCTTTTTAACAATATAACACCATTCGAAGCTCTCAACATGGAAGTCGACGCCGCAGGCTCAGCCAAAGCGGAAGGTCGCATAGCACGAGGCGATGTTGATGCTCAGGATCTGGCTGCCTTGGGCCACGAGCAGCTGCTCACCCGGAAATTCAGCCTCGTGAGCATGCTTGCCATGGCCTTTTGCGTTCTCGGAACCTGGGCCGTCTTTGCGCAGAACCTGTCCGCCGCCCTCGAAACTGGAGGTCCCGTCAGCATCTTCTGGGGCCTCCTCCTCGTTCTCTTCTGCAACGTTTGCATCGCCGTGTCTTTGGGCGAGATGTGCAGTAGCATGCCCACTGCGTTGGGGCAGGCGTACTGGGTCTCTCGCCTCTGGGACACGCCCTCTGGGAGGCTGCTTTCCTACATGTGCGCCTGGACGAACACGTTCGGCTGGTGGGCCCTGACGGCGTCGCAGAATGCCTTCATGACCGAGCTTCTCCTCAGCATGAAGGTCATTTTCGATGTTGACTGGCCGTGGGCGACCCGTGGCTGGACCCTCTTCCTGGTGTACATTGGCATCACTCTATTCTTCAACGGCTTCAACCTGATTGCATGCCGTAGCGACAAGACGCTTCCTTACTTTAACAATGGAGTCGGCGTTGGCTTCGTCGCTCTCTTCGCCGTCATCAGTATGGCACTACTCATCTCGGTTGGGACGAAACCAGACTTGGAATTCCAGCCAGCATCCTTCGTCCTGGGAGGTTGGACAAATACGACTGGCTGGTCCGATGGAGTGACATGGTTTGTCGGTCTTATCCAGTCAGCATATGGTGTGTCCTCCCGGCTCCCAACTTCCAGCGGCACCTTGCAGCTTGAACTTGCCCCCTTTTCTGACGCCAGATAGGTCTTACCGCTTTCGACGCCGTCATCCACATGGTTGAGGAGATGCCGTCGCCCCGTCGTGACGCCCCTAAAGCCATGTATCTCGCCGTCATCTGTGGCGCAGCCTCGGGGTTCATCTTCATGTTGGCCACGCTGTTCAGCATCCAAGACTTCGACACGGTCCTCAACACACCCACTGGCTTCCCCTTCATCCAGGTCCTCGAAGATGCCCTAGGCCGAACAGCAGGCACCGTGCTCGTCGCCCTCTTTATCGTGAACGGCTTCGGCCAGGGCATCAGCGTCATGACCTCGGCGTCGCGGCTGACCTGGGGTTTCGCCCGCGACGGCGGCCTCCCTGGGGTTCGTACTTCTCCCACGTGGACCCGACCTGGAAGGTACCCGCGCGCGCCCTCTGGCTGCAGTGCTTCATCGTCTGCCTCATCGGCGTGCTCTACACCTTCGCGTCGACGGTCCTTGAGGCCGTGCTCGCCGTCAGCACCATCGCCCTGACCATCTCGTACGCCATTCCCATTTCCGTCCTGCTCTTCGTCGGCCGCGACAAGCTGCCGCCGGGGGACTTCTCCCTTGGCCGGCTCGGCCCCGTCGCCAATTGGGTGTCGCTCGTCTACTGCGCCATCACGACCGTCTTTTTCTTCTTCCCCAGCTCGCCCAACCCCTCGGCCACCGACATGAACTACGCCATCGTCGTCTTTGGCGTCATGCTGCTCGTTTCCTTTCTGTTCTGGGTCGCCAGAGGGCGGGTCACGTACCTCCGCACCCAGGGCTCGGCGGAGCGTGATATTCAGGCCCGACGTTGGGAGATGGAAAGCTATGACGGGCTCGCGGTGGCCGAGAGCCATGCGCTGGCCTCAAAGTCGAGCCATGTCGGGTTGGCCAAAACTCGCGACTGATCATCACACTGTCAGATTGACTCCGACTGTAACGAACGCTGCCTGTTTCTTTGTAGTCTCCTATGGCCCATATCGTATCATACGTGTCGCAGTATTTGCTTCAATCCGTTGGTAGGATTGACAGCGGATTGATGACATTGTCCTTTCAAGGCACACCTGTGAAGTAGATCAAGTTGAACCAAAAAAAAAAGACACTCATAGTATCATTGGTGACGTTTCAGAAGCCCGTCATACGGCCTCAATTAACATATGCCTTGCCGGCCAGACTACTATGTGCACACGTCAGGGGTGGTCCCCAACCCCGTCATCATGGCGCGTATATAATTCGAGCATGTTCCAATGCCAAAGCCAAACTCCCGGTGCTGAGATTTTCATAAATGGAAAGGACAAAGTAAAAGACATTCGTGACTGGATATCTCTGCTCGCAACCCTGTGCTCCTACAAATGAGTGACTCCTCCCTGAGCACATGTCCCATTTTGTTTCCGATGCCCTTCCTGATGCCGGCGTCGGATCCGGGCAGAACCTGCGATATCTACAAAAACGAACGGGGGTAAGGGGAATAATGGACAGAGGATCCAAACGCCGACACCCAAGTATTGCTGCATCCTTGGTCGGCGGTGCTCTCTGTCAAGTAGGTGTATTACATAGTGAGAGCGCGGGGTCACCTTGGTGCCCCGTTCACCTTCTCCGGATCTTTTGGCGTGGTCGCGGCTCCGTTTGTCGGAGCCTCATGTGCCACTGGTTTTTCCCGGATGACGTCTTCCGGCGTCGTTTTCCTCGTCAAGCTTGACGTTTCTGCCTCTTCTTCGGGAATGGTGGCGAACTTCATGAGCACCTGCTTGAGCGCTGGACGCCGGATCGGCTTGCTCAAGAACTCATCCATACCACTGTCCATGCACTCCTTCACATTGCTGGCCTCCGAGAACGCCGTCAGCGCCACAATGGGCGCCTTGTAACCCATTTTGCGAATGAGTTTGGTTGACTGCAGACCGTCAAGGTTAGGCATCTGGACGTCCATAAAGATCACATCAAAACGGAGGTTTTCGTCCATATTGGCCTTGACCAGGTCGTACGCTTCCTGGCCGTCTTTGGCGATCGTCACGTCGTAGACATCTTCTAGCTTCAACATCTTACTGACGACCTCGATATTGGTCGAGTTGTCGTCGGCGACCAAGACTCGCAGTTTGCCCTTGCCGTTTTTATTCGCGATGGCGCGCTTAATGGCATCCATCTGATCTTTCGTGTTGCTGGTCGGCTTCGGTGTCGGAGATGCTGGGAAGAAAGGTTGTCGCAAACCCACAAGTCTCGTCGTCTCCTGACCGGGCTGAATCGGATCCATGTCGTCACCTGGTGCGGTCAAGCTGCCAGTTACGCTCTTCCTTTGGGGGCTGTCTATACCTCCGTCGATGAGATCTAGGCTAGGTGGCCTTGACTTGATGCTGCTAGATGCAGTGCTGGACGCTCTGTAGGGTCACGTGTTAGTTTCTATTCCCGCCCCCAACAGATGAACGTGTGCATCTTACCTGTCCCTCACATACTTGAGGGGAATCTGCATCGTGAACGTTGTGCCTACTCCAACGGTGCTCCTCAAAGAGATGGAACCTCCCATGAGGGTCGCCAGCTGATGACAAATACTCAAACCAAGACCGGTGCCGCCAAATTTCTTGCTTAGGCCCAGGTCGCCCTGCACGAAAGGCTCGAAGACCCTCTGCTGCATGTTCTCTGGAATACCAGGGCCGGTATCCTCAACCTCGAATTCGAACATGAATTGCTTGGCGCCCGGGGGCGGTGGTGTGGGCGACCGTTCTCGTATCTGAACATGCGGTGTGGCCTTCGGATCAGCAGGATTGATCGTAAGTGCTGTGCCCTTGTAACTAGCATTCTGGATTTGTTGCGATGATGTAGAGCCCGCCTTGGAGCTGGCCGAGTGGACCGAGCTCGAGTTCAGCCTGTGACGCGATCTACCGAATCGTCTCGAGTCTTTGGAGAAGGACGATGTGCGACTGTCGTCGCCGCCAACCGGGGTTTCCACCTCGCCTATGCACCTGATTCTCACTTCTACCCGGCCTTCCGCTGGTGTAAACTTGAGACTGTTGCTGACGAGGTTGATGAGAACTTGCAAAATTCGGTGTTGATCGCCCCAAAGACACATGTCTTTGAGTCGTCCCATGCCGTGGGGACCAAGGGCGGGTAGCTTCTTCTCTGCACTGGTCCTGTCCACGCCAGGATTGATCTCGACGACCTCGGAACTCAGGAAATCAACAGAGAGGGCGATACGGCCTTCCCGCACCTGTTTGTCGAAAATGGACAGCACTTGCGTTCTGATATCAGCCAATCTGAACTCCCTTTCTTCAAGGGCTAGTTGCTGGCCAATTTGGTTCTTGGAGAAACTGAGGAGATCCTCTAGGAGATGGAGCAGTAGGTCGCCTGACTTGTACAGCGTCTTCAGGCTTTGCTTTATCCTGGTGATGTCTGTCTCCTCCATGCTGACGGCGCACATGCCCAAAATGCCGTTCAGGGGCGTCTTGAGCTCGTGTGAGATGTTGGCAATGAATAGCGTCTTGCTCTCGTTGGCAGCCTCAGCTGCCTTCTGCTGATCTCAAGTTCTCTGGTTCGTTCCGCGACCTTTTGATCAAGTGATGAGTATTGCTTTACCAGTTCGTCGCTCATGTCGTTGAAAGTCTGCGTCAACTCGGTGAGCTCGTCTGAGATGAAGTGCTTGCGATCATCGACTTTGCCAGGTATCTTGAAACTTCTGCGCGTCGATTCGCGTTCGTGCTCGGAAGGCGACTTTTCTTTTGGTTTGTATCCCACCAGCTTGAGGAGAGCCACTGCGAGACCATCCCTTTTGGACCTCTGCGAACGTGAAGAGATGGCACCGGACCCCGGGCTGTCGTCGTCGTCGCAGTCATAATAGCCATCCTCATAGCCAGGAGGCGCCACGGTCTTCTCGGTGGCAGCCTTGAGCCTGCGAATGGGCATCACGCTGAGGTGGGCGCAAGGGAAAATAAAGATAATAAACAAACCGGCGGTGCCAAAGACACACCCCAAGATGATGTTGCGAAGTGTCGAAATGGGCGCATCTGTCTCTGACTTTGCTTGCTCGACGACAACGGTCCAGTTAACAAGAGGCGTGTTAGTCCGTGCAAAACCAACAGCGACGGGAACGTTCTGTTCATTGTGCGTCGAGAGCATAGAGCTGGCATTGTTGACCGTGTCGAAGCGCTTGGAGAAGGAGTCGAGTACGGCAGGGAACTTTTCGATGGCAAAAGGTTCCATGTTGTTGCCATCCAAATATCTACGATCGCTGTGTCGGTCGGCCTGACCGTCGACGGGTTGAGGCGGCAAGATGAACTGCACAGGTGTGTCCCCGAACCTGTCTCTGTCAGGGAGGAAGGTAGCGTTGCTGACAGGGTTTGTAATGTCGAACCGGTTGGTCGGGCTCGTAGGACCGACCACCAATACGACACCCGTATCGCCCAACCCTTCCCGAGACTTGCCGACTTCGAGCAGCGATATCGACGTGAAGACTAGCGTAATGTATCCAATCACAAAGTTATTCTCTCGCTGGTCTCGAATCGGCACAGAGATGGACATGAGAGCAAAAGTCTCGTTGAGGATAAGCGGCCCAAGCAGTAAGCCGCCGTTCGTAGAAATGCGAACACCTTGAAATGCTTCGGCGATGTAGGCACGCTCCCCTGGTCGAACCTGGCTGGGACGACCAAGATCGATGTAGGTGATATTAGGATAGAGCTCTGGAGGGTATCCCTCCTCCGTGTCGCTGAGGAACACAGGCTGGTTGTCGGGCCCACGGTAGGGCAGTTCGATCGGGGTCTCATTGACGCGGGCACCCGTGACATTGACAAGTCCGTAGTTATTGCCGGTCGAGTTTCGTGAGTAGATGCGGCCTTGCAGAAGGCCACTGAGCGAGCCGACGGAGAGAGCACTCTCGAGGTCGGCTTTGGCTATTTCCCAATTTTGCTCTGTCTGATTGCCGTTGTAAAAGTCGTAAATAGAGCGCTGGATCAACAGCCGCGAGGATATTGTGAGGCAGTTAGTCTGGACCAACTCAAGCTCGCTGGAAATGCGCGAGGCCTTCAGCGAGGCCGTCAGGGCGAGCTGGTTGCTCTCGACATCGATGACGAAGCTGTTGACATAGATCCAAACGGGCACTGACAATATCATCAAGGCCACAAGGACGGCCAGGACGACAAGCAGTGCCAGTTGTTCCCGTATCGCGATCCGGACGCCCATCTTGCCGGGTTATGAAGTTGGGGTGAGACGGTGGCCCAGTTTCGCAGTCATCGTACGCCGGAACGTTCACACGCTGTTTGAATACTTTGAGGAGAATGGGATGTGAACTGCTGGGGAAAGCGTCGCAGCTGATGTCAGTCGCGTTCAGCTCTATCGCTGCCAATCGCAAGATTCGCGCGTCAAAATATCGGTGGGGTGAAGGTCGAATGAATGCGCAACGCTACTGTGCCAATCGACAAAAGAATATTGCGCGAGGGCGCAAGATGGAGAGGCAGGCTACGAAGTTGGGAGGTGGACAATCGCTGATGTCGAGAGGCGATGCTGGTGAGGACGAGGGCGCGGCGAGAGAGTGTCGGGGGTGGTGTCCGTGGTGGTATCGTGAGGCGCAGGTTGAAGGGAGAGGGTGGTGGGGGACTGTAAAGAGCTGACTGTAAGGACCGTTGAAGCGTGACGGCTGAGAGGCGAATGCGGACGAGAGGCAAGAGGGCAAGAGAGGCAAGAGACCAAGTTTGGAGAGGGGTCTTCCGAGCCAAGAAAAGGGACGTATCGAGAGGAAGAGGAAGAAAAGAACCGAAAGCCAGCGGCGGACGGCGGGAGGACGGCGTGAGCGAGAGACCTTTTGGGTGGAAAGAGCTAAAGGGGATTAGCACCCATGTCAGATCTGCGGAAGGAGAAAATAGCGGCTGCGGGAGGACGAGCACTGGGATTGGGATTGATGGGGCGCCAGGGCGCGAGGGAGAGACTGAACTGACGTGTTCGTGGACGAGTACACGACAGACGGACCCCGAGATGGACAGCAGCCACGCCCAACTAATTGATAGTCAAGGTTGACACCAGAAAGGGACGTGGACAGAACGAAGCGTGGGCACAAGGCGAGGCGAGAAATCCGCCAGGAAAACAAAATCGCGTGGAGCTGAAGCAGCGCAAGGTGAAGGGTGGGACGGGAACAGCAAAAGAGGCGGGCCAACGGAGCAAGGGCCTCCTGGTCAGACAAGGCCACAGGGGACGGGTATAGGCCACTCACTCCTTTGGTGTCCTCAGGCGAGCCAGGGAGATGCGTAGGCAGTCGTAGTGCTGGCTGTACGTATTAGCACAAGCTCTTGGAGGCGATCGCGATGAGACGCCAGTAGTGGTTTCCCGGAACGTTCGGAGAGGAGACCTATGAGGCCAGGGCCCGGCCAGAACACGCGCTTCCCAGAGAATGGCGGAATACGATGGACAGATGACTGGCGTTGATGACAGAATGGGGCACTCGACCGTGGATGCGGATGAATGAAGGAACAAAGATGGGGGCGATCCAGCAGATCAGCGATCAGCGAGGACAAGCTCCTGTCTGGAAGAGGAAAACAGTGGGCATGGGCAAGACAGGCGAGACAGGCGAGACAGCACAGCCGGGAGGCCCCTGTCGCCCAGGTGGTCCAGACCCAGCACGGGCGACAGGCCTGCCGCCGCCCAGTGATTTCGCCTCGCATCCTGGAGGAGATTGCCCCGGATGAGTCAGCTGTTCCTGCTGCCGTTGCTTGGTTTTGCCTGCCCGGATCTGCCCCGCCCCTGCCACTCCAGGTGTGTTCCTCGTGCGCGACTGCCCGTCTGCCGCTGCATCTGCGTCTGCGTTTGTCTCTGTGGCATGGCAGTCTCCACCTAGGTATTCTTCAGTCCTGCCTTCCCGTCCCTGGCACCTTACCACCTGGACTTTGGGCACCTGACGTCCCATTGCACTTGGAGCCTCGTCTCGAACAGTAGCACTGGGACACGGCTAGCATCAAGATCCTCACCACCACCAATACGACATCATCTCACAAACACCATCATCGCCATCAAATCCCATCACTCCATTCCTCGCCTGAGCAACTAGCGTTCACTGCATTAGCGTGTCTGGAACATCCGACGTCGTGGCAGTCGGCTCAGTAGGGCCCAGCAGCCCAGCATCCAGTCTGATCGTCGCCACGCCTCGGACCACCATCACTTATCACAATCAACGTCTTCTGTATCTCGTGCAGTGCGCAGTGGCATGGCCGGCTGATTCTGGGGTTATCACTTGCTGCAAAAATTCTAGGCCACCCCCAGCTTCAGAGTCCGTGTCAGTCCAACCCGTCTTCTGGCACACTGCATCGCCGTTTGCGGCCATGTCTCCGCCTCCCCGCCACGATCATCCTGTCCATGGTTGGCCCAGGACCATCAGCTGAAGGGCGCGAGGTACCAGCGCCGGTGGTTGACAGCTTCGCCGGAACTTGCCAGTCCCTGCCTGCCGCTGTTAGTGGCCCTCTCGACCGGGACAACACCGAGACGATGGGCTGTGTCCCCCACCTCCGTCCTCACTACTGCCGAACTCAGAGCCTCCATGGCGTGATTGTATTTTCCGCCACACGGGCCTGTGCCGGCATCCGGCATGGTGGCCAGAGGCCGTTCTTTACGGGCCTATTGTGAGATCTTTCAGATGCCTCATTTGCCCTATTCTGGGCTTTTCGTGAGAACGAGATGGCTTGTCTTCGTTTGAATATGCACAGCAACCGCTGCCGCCGTACCAGCTCAGAGGCGTCTTTGATTTTTCTATAAGCTGATCAATCGGCAGAAGCTGGCTGCGGAGACCGGTGTTGACTGACCCGCCGTGCTGAGTCTCACTGAAGGTCGGGACGACCGTGACCAACATACAGAAGGTCCTCAAGGCATGCCCCGGGGAGGGTGTTTCAGGATGCACCGCACTGCGCATTCTTGGTCATGGTTGCTTGCATAAAACAAAATGCCTCAATACGATGTCTCCTCGTCGTCTTCTCACTCTACAGCTATGTGAGCCCAATGACGTATCTGGTCTAAAAACAGCTTACACCAGCTCCACGAACGCAATGTCATTCTCCGACGACCGGCTATGTCCCATTTGCGCCAACCTCAACATCGAGGGTCTCTTTGATCCGACTCGTTTCAAAGGCCTACCGCCAGCTCCCTCGCCCGAGAGCGAGGCTGTCAGATGGGACAACTATATCCAACATGCCGCAACCTGGAGACGTCTCACTCGAGAAGAAATCGTCGCACATTACCCGCCAGGCATAGTCCCCAGCTGTCCCTTTTGCGAGATTGTGGGTGGCATTGGGCACTTGCTCGCTGCTGGGCGCCCCCTGAACCCCAATAGCCATACCCCACGTGAGACGAAGAAGGTCCTGCTAGCTATCCCATCAGACCTTCTTTATGATATAGCCACGAGCAGGAGGGAGCAATATGCCATGAATGCCACAGCATCAGTCTTCCTACTCATAATGGACCAGGTCCAATACGATGAGGCCAAGGCCAAGTCGTTTGGCAGCACATCTTTGTTTGTGCGGTTCGCCCATCGAGACTTCCCGGGATCCTTAGTATCACTGGTTGCGAATCAGTCCCTCGACCTTCGGCGCCCTCTTGACCTGCCCATGCAGGGACGACGTTTTCTGGAGGAAAAGATTGACTACAAATTTGTGCGTTCATGGGTCCAGCTTTGCGAGGACCAGCACGATAACTGTCGCACGAGAGGAAACCTACAACCTGTGCCACGGCTGAAACTGATAGATTGTGAGGCAAGACGTATCATCAAACCGGATCCGAACAGAAAATACCCTTATGTGGCATTGAGTTACGTGTGGGGAAGTGCTCCTCCAGAAAAGTATAATTATCCAAATCTGCCGGGATGGATTACCCCCCGTGATCCTCGACACGATGCGCGCTGTCGTCAAGCTTGGATTCCGATACGTATGGATCGACCGCTACTGTATCTGGCAAGATGACCAGATCCACAAGATGAGCCAGGTTGAAAGGATGGATCAGATATACAGCGACGCAGAGCTCACCATTGTCGCCGTCGGAGCCAAGGATCCTAGCTACGGGATTGCCAGGTTTGACACTAAGCCGAACTCAACACATTCCTATCAATAAGAGAATAGGCGAGCGACATCTGGTTGGCAAGTTCAGCCACCACTGGCAGCTGAACGAGGTATCGAAATCGAAGTGGGCTACTCGTGGCTGGACATTTCAAAGAGACTTGTCTTTCGAGAAAGAAGGTTGTATTTCTCCCAACTATGAGGTCTCTTTTGAGTGCCCACGATATGATGTGTTTTGAGCACCTGACGCAGCCTCTTGCGTACGAAGGGAGCTTGGAACATCGGGAGAGGCCAGAATGGAACCACATCAACAACCCACATGGAATATGGGCCGTCATCTCCAACTATTGCGAACGCCAGCTTAGTTTCTCGAGCGACAGGCTTGCCGCTATCACGGGCGTACTTACGAGGTGGGCGAAAGTCAATCAGGGCTGTGCCTCCTACTGGGGTATACCCGTTGTAGCTTCAGGCACGGAGCCTCTCAGCGCCGCATCGTCAAAGCAAGCATTTCTGGCCGGGTTGCACTGGCAGCTACAGGCGAGAACAGGGAAGGCTGGGCTCGCCAGACTGTCGGAATTTCCGAGCTGGTCCTGGGTATCGCAGAACGGACGGTGTTTATTCGGTCATCCGTACTACCACATCATCCCTCCTAGCTTAGAGGATGTCTCTAAGGAGTTTGATGCTGAAGTTTGGATAGAGACACCTGACGGGAAAGCCGTCGAGTGGAGCGTCTTCCGTGACGGGAGTGGTCTCGAACAGTCTTCCCTGAATTGGAGCCGATACATACACCTTGAGTGCTGGTCCTTCCAGACCGGTGCTTTCTGTCTTCAGGAGCTCCGACATACCCCGGGCAGCAGATCACCCGTCACCATTCTGTTCGTTCCGGTAACGGATCATCCCAATGATACGGATAAAAAAACGACTATTATTGCACGACTATTGCCAGATTCCGGGTTCGGGAGCTTGTCAAGGCTGAAGGGGCGAGACCTGACAGCTGTCACATTCTCTCCTGTTGAGCACAGCACATTCGCCCTCGTACTGGATACTGTTGCAGGTGATATGCTCAGAGTCGGGATTCTAGAACTCGCCAAGCTCATTGACCGGGACACGTTCGAATCCGCAGAGGCATTACGGGGCTACTTTGACCCTGCTCAGTTTGCCGCAACGAGGCGTCGTGTGAGACTAGGGTAGTCGATGTAGGGTAGCCTCGGAGGGCTTAGCTCCTGTGGACTTGTGAGCTGCTATCAGGCCAAAAAGAGATGGAATGTCTGCAGATGCCCACATTTGGCACGTATGGCTGCTCGCATTATCATGATAGCCATCTAAGACTCGCATCGTTGATTTGAAATGTCTAGTGGCGCATATTCGTATTCCAGAGAGGCAGAGACGCAAGCCATGAGCCTTCCCGGGACTGATTTATCGCCATAGCGGCACCCACGCCATATTGATTGATAGGGGCAAGAGGCGAAATCGGGTTGTCTTTGTATGACAGACAGACATGGACACACATGAGAAACGAATACACGAGAAGGTCAGCGAAAGCGAACGTCACGTCATATATTCATTGAAAAGAAGAAGCAAGAAGAAACATCGTGACAAGCCCCCCCCCTCCGGGAACACCCCCTTTCCGCGCACCCATTCCATCTCCCCAGGCCGTACAAGCGATCAAAGAAGGTAGAAGGTCGTTTACACATTTGTGACAGGGCGACAAAAAAACACGGCATCGGACTCAGGCTCGGACTATTCATGACCTCGTAAACATCAGGGGCACCAGTGCCGACTGGCTCGACATGCTCCGCGCGTCAGGCAGCACGCTGACGTAGCTCTTGCCGAACAGGCCCTCCCTGAGACGCGCCGCCATGGCGCAGCTGTCGGGCCCGTGGGAGGGCACGTGCTTTTTGCTGCTGCTACTGAACTGCGCCGAGAGCTTGAGCAGCACGGCTTCCTTTGCCTTTTGCAGCGCGCTCGACCGCGCGGCGGCGTCCTCGGCCAGCACACGGTGGGCTTCCTCTTGCTCAATGTTGCGCTGGACAGAAGAGATGCCCTCGTCGGGGTCCATGTCGGCGGCGTGGCGACGGTTGGGGTCGTACGTCGTGGGCTGCAGGAGAACCGGCTGCTGGGTGGTGTCCATGATGGGGGCGCTGATGTTGGACAGCGTGCGGGCCGGGCCGGCAGGGCGGTGGCACTCCACCTCGGACGCCGTCGACGACATGTTGGACGGCTGCTTGCGGAGGATTGAGCGGTCGCTGTTGCTGCGGCTGGGGCCGGGGCTGGGGCGGCTCTCCTTGTCGTCCTCGGCGTGTCGCTTTTTCCTGTGACGGCTGCCGTGACGGCGGTGATGCTGCTTGTCGCGCGATTCGACCTCTTGTTCGGCGTCCGAGGGCCCCCGGTGTCGGTGGCCGCTCTTCTTGGTCTTGACGTCTAGCTGATCGACGACGACCTCATCCACTCTCCTACGCACCTTGCGCTTCTTCTTGAGCTTCGTCGTGAAGGCAGCGCTCGCCTCCCTGGCAGCGGCAATCTCGCTGACGAGATCAGCCTCGAGGTCGTCTCTCCTCCTTCTCTCGTCGATCTCTTCTTCATCGCCGTCGACTTCGCCGAGGAAGTCCAGCCCGTCAAGAGCCTCGCCAAAGTCAAAAGCGAGCAGCTCCCTCGAG